ACTTTTTTTTTTTCAGTGGCCCTAATCCTCTTCCATAAATTTCATATAATTAGAGGAAACATATTTAGGGATATAAATGTGGTGAAAGTAAAATGAATGGTTATAAAGTGTAGGATAGACACTTACCAATATGTTGTCCACTTTTGATTGTACAGATTTACTGAAATGAGACAAGAGAACAAAACATGCAGGAGAAGATGTTAAAACAGTCTGCAAACAATCCATTCAATTTAAAACAACTTTCTTAATGTTAATAATGCAGCTAAAATCCTCAGCACTTTGAGGATTCACATTTTGAAAGAGAAATGCAAAATATATCATATAAAAATCTGTAACAGTTGTAGCTGCACAAAACTTTGATCCTATTTAAACTTTCCTTGACTTTGATGCCATTTTGGCGTCACGATCAAAACCAAGAGGAGGAGCAAGAACACGAGGGAAACTGGACAAAGTGTGAGGAAAATTTAGCGCTGCGTTATGCAGATCCTAAATCATAAATCATGAAGTGAGATGGAGCCTTATGGCGGTCTGACAAGCGTTATCCCAAAATGGAAGTAACTGTACTAAATAATAAAGCAAAAATAAAGAACATTTGTGGCCATTTCTTGACTCCAGAAAGCTGGAATAGGAAAATATTTTCTCTGTTTCAAAAACTCATTAAGAACAAATTATTAGGGATGCTCGATATTGCCTTTTTTGCCGATATTCCATACGTCGATATTCCAAATGCTGAATTTTTGATTCCGATATAAGCCGATACTGATATAAACTAATTTCACATCTTGCCAGTCACAAAATTTTAGGCATAAACTACATTTACTGTGATGCCGCACTACAAACTGTATACATACACACAAATAATTAAATTATCTTATTATCTGTTATTTTTAAAATTGATATTAGGAACAAAAAAATCGATATTAACTCCAGCACCCAAAAATCCCCATATATCAACAAATGGATTTTTTCCCACCCCCCTAATCAGCTTACTGTGAAAATTAGGGCTGCAACAACGAATCGATAAAATCGATAAAAATCGACTTTTAAAAGCGTTGGCAACGAATTTCATCATCGATTAGTTGTGTCGCGCGATTAATGCGACATTCGCCACCGTTGTCATCACT